ACCTGCTATCAGCATATAGTGATTTAATGGTTCGTGCGACTGGCCGTCGATCCCATATGTATGCAAGCAGGTTCATAGACTGATGCGCGGGATGCGATCGTGGGCTTTTTCCAGATCAACAAGGCACATTGTTTCTCAACAGTCTGGCGTAAGGCGAAGATCTGGTCAGAGGTGCTTCGGATGAACTTAAATTCACGCTCCTCTGTTTGTATCTCAGGGTCAGTTATTTTGCAACACATCCTTTCTAACACTTTTGCGTTGACTTTTCTTGGGATTTTTAATGATGTAATGCCCCGATAATTTAAGCACACCCTATATATTCTCCCCTTTTCAATATGGATCCTGTAAACGCATTTCTCCAGTCCACAGGTGTCTTCCCTCTAGCCATTGCAGTTTGACAGGCACATGTTAGGCACAACATGTTTTAGCGGTCGACACCTATTCGCCCATTGCTTTTTGCATTTCACGGCGAATTTCATCAATTCCAGCAGTCTTGCCACTTTTCTAACAGATTCTATGACTTCATCTGCTAAAAGACTAATATCCGTTGCCTGCTACTCTTCAGACAAGTCCCCATGGGGTTTCTTGGGATTAAAGACTTCCTCAAAGCACTGTTTTCCTCAGTGAAGTATATCCTCATCATTGGTAAGAGGGCGGCCAGACTTGTCCTTCAGGACTCTTTGATTGTCCTTCTTTCCGTTTTGGAGATGGCGAATAGTCTACCAGGTTACTTTTTTCTACCAACTGGAAACTCGACTCCAGCACCTTACAGAACCCTCCGTGAATTAGTTTTCTCTTTGGTCACTGCATTCGCCGTCGCTTTACGTGATCATCTTAATAACAAACAAATCACCCCCTCTCATGACACGAGACCATTAGAAAATGAAGCAGCACGGAACTGATAGCTTGAATACGGGTAGGATGTGCATCCAATTTTAAGATATCACGCTTCTGCGTCGAGCAAGTGTCCTCAGAAAACTGTCTGCTCATTAAGGAACATGGAAGATCGATCGGGCAATCAGAAGTGCCTCTGTTATCCTTCAAAAATGTTTGGTTGATTTGATGAAAGCAGATGATATATTTTAGGTGTTGAATGCTTATCTTTCATGAAAAAAGTATCATTGGGCTGAGGTAATTTTAATTGCTTCATATTCAACTCGTTGCCTTATGTAAACTAATGTTACTGATGCTCTAATGCAATCTTCGGCTTCTTAGGATTGAGTAGAGAGTAAATCAAATCCTGTAGCCATTAGCTTCATCTAACAATGTATGTTCATAGCAGCTGAGTTGCTTCAGCATAAAATAGCAGGAAGGTCGATAGTGCTGTACATCTATGCTTGCTGCCACGGTCCAATCCCTGATTTCCGCTCGACAGTGAAAAAGATCATCTCCTTATAGTAAATAGTGTCTTCCAAAGAAAGTTTCAAGGAGACCAAGCGATATAGTCCATTTCAGCTTTTGATACCGGATTTAAGCTGCGTTAATTCCCGTCTCCTTGCTTCTAGTGTTCTAGAGTATCCGGCATCAAAAACTGAAAAGGATTATATATCTTAGCGACGGTATCAATAACTAGTAGTATGCTAATGAATCCATATGATCTTGTTTTATTTTTTTTGTATAAGCCGTGAGATAGCTTTGAAATTCAATTCTGAACATCGTTTTCCTGAAAATAAGTAAATGTTCTTCGCTTTTTATGTAAAGCACATAGACCCGATTGTCGAGTACGCGACCTCTCCAATTTAAAGTAATATCTGCAATAATCATGTGTCATATGGCGGTAAACAGCCTACGGGATATGTCACAAAGTTAGTGCCTGAGCCCCGTTCGGATGAGAGTTTTCTGGAACTAGCGGAAGGCTAGCGAGTGGCTACACCAAGGCAGATATACTTCTACATTGTAGAAGCAATCATGGGGGAACAAACATTCGCAGAGATGAAAAGACAAGAACATATCTACGCAATCAGCTCAGTTTGGGTTTCGCTGCTGCACGTCGACAGTCTTTTGCACAAAATCGCATTGCCATTATCCATTTGTCTCTTTCTTCTTATGCTGCAGTAATTTTGCCTCTGTGCAACCAATCATAACCACTTCTGCCAACATCTGAACTTGAAGCATCGAAATCCGAGGCAACCAAGTTCGAGCTACAGGTGTACCTTCCAGCATGAGATGCAAGATGATGGTTGCCGGCCATGCTTGTAATCAGGCAGTGATCGCATACTCGGCAATCCTTGATTATTTAAATAATAAACGAAAAATGTTTTGCATTTCAGAGAAGTAGTGTCTCGTCTTCGTATGAAAGAAACGTTTTTATCATAGTAAACACTAACGGCCTTTTCAAAAAAATAATCAGAACGCCATTTGTTTTATACTAATCTGTAATGGCAAAGTGGTTTTTAAATTGTTTAGAATGACAATGCCTTTCGTTAAACGAACTTATCTGAAGACACTATAGCGTTGGGGTAATTTACTGTCCATATGGGAAGTCAATTTTTCCGATAATATAGCAACAACCATAATCCGAGAATGAAAATGTCGAAGATCCGTAATTTATCAGGTGCTTAAAAAATATTATGAGAATCGGCCAACCTTCTTTTTAATGTCCTCCTTTCATACAGTTTAAAATGCACGCTACAGGACGTGTACAATTTAGACGTCATCATGTAAGAAACAAATTTCTAGTCCGTACCTTGCGTTATCAAGGTCAGTGGTCAGGATAACTCCGATGGTTTAGTGCTTAACTAGCCGTTGATATGTCACGAACTGGAATCCTAGAAAGTGCGAAACATCTTTCATATTTCCGATGAAAACAAGTGATTGCCACTATTAATACGTGTAGGAGGGATGCATGAGACTTCGCCTGCAGCAGTCGTATAGCTTTAGACATTGTCTTCCAAAGTAACGCACCCTGTAACTAACGGCACCGCTACTGTGGGATCAGCATCGCCCATGGTGGAGGCGTAGGCGATGCCCGAAATGGAATCATTGGGATTGCCGCCATGCGGTCGCTGTCAAGTTCCGTTTGTTTTCCTCTTAGTAGTGTCGAGTTTTATCAGTGTCTATCGCGAACATTGCCCTCAGGACACGGCTTCTCGGCTTCTCGTGCGT